TACAAAATAATGTGTTTTCACATCCTGGCATCAGCAGGAAAATAAATGGAACCAGTCTATTTCATTTCCCACATTTTTCTTATGTAACTGCAAATGCATTAGACTGCTGGTTGGAGTAAGATGGCAACCACTCTTCAGTCTCTAATAATTACCCTTTAAATCTCTGGTTACCTTGAAGTGAAAAATATATAAAACAGCTATGGCTCACACTAAAGAGCCTTTCATGCCCCACTGCTGTATAACTCTATGAGTCATTTAAGTGGCAAAAAAGTCAGCCATCACTGTAGGCATTTCAGCAGTTCATTACTGGAGACTCTCTCTTGATAGTCAGTACCCATGTTAATAAGAAAATTAGGGCAACCAGAAAGAGATGGCTGGATGTAAAAAGCAACTTTCAAAAATAAATCTTTTCAACAACCATCAAAATACCACAAGAACACAGCAACGGTGTCTAGTTTCACTATCCTGTTAACAATCACTTCATGATTTACCTAAAATGCAGTGCTGCTTACACCGTCGCCATCTCCTCCATGATTATCTTAAGTACCAAAATTCAAATTCTACATCAGCATTTCCCAAACTGTTTCCATCTGTACACCCCATTTCTGGTGGGCTTGCCCCCACCCCAAACACAAACAGCTGAATTTCTTTTAAGCTCATAACCCCACTTGTAACTGCCATGCCCCACTCAGGTCTGCTGTTCACAGATTGGAAACCACTACTCTAGCCACTGCAATGGCCCCCAACATATTCTTAAAAATGAATTATACCCAAATCAAAACTATTGTGGGTGGGTTTTCACTATCTACACTATTCATGTATTTATAATTGAGTTTGTGCTAACACTAAAGCGGCAGTCCATGTCAGAAAGGCAATGAACTTGACTTATGGTATTAGTTTTACCCAAATGACAGTACCTAGAGATATTCATCACCAGCACCAAGGAACAACACAACAACACATCAGTGCCAGCCAGAGGAATTTACAAGCATCAGTTGATTCTGCCTACATAGTTTCATAGTTTCTAGGGTCAGAAGGGACCTGAGCAGATCATCTAGTCCGACCCCCTGCCATGGCAGGAAGAGCACTGGGGTCAAATGACCCCAGTAAGGTGGTCATCCAACCTCCTCTTAAAAACCCCCAGGGTGGGAGCCTGCACCACCTCACTTGGAAGCTGGTTCCAGACCCTAGCCGCCCTGACCGTGAAGTAGCGCCTCCTGATGTCCAACTTAAACCTTCCCTCCGCCAGCTTGTGACCATTGTTCCTGGTCACTCCTTGCGGCGCTCGGGGGAACAGGGACTCCCCCAGCACCTGCTGATCCCCCCTAACCAGTTTATAACAGGCCACAAGATCCCCCCTCAGCCTTCTCTTTTGAAGGCTGAACAGGTTCAGGTCCCGCAACCTTTCCTCATAGGACCTACCCTGCTGTCCCTTGATCATACGAGTGGCCCTCCTCTGGACCCTCTCGATGCTGTCCACATCCCTCTTAAAGTGCGGCGCCCAGAACTGGACGCAGTACTCCAGCTGCGGCCTGACCAGTGCCGCATAGAGGGGGAGGATCACCTCCTTGGACCTGCTCGAGATGCATCTGTGGATGCACGACAAGGTGCAGTTGGCCTTCCTAGCCGCCTCCCCACATTGCCGACTCATGTTCATCTTGGAGTCAATAATGACTCCCAGATCCTTTTCCACCTCCGTGCTGACAAGAGGGGAGTTCCCCAGCCTGTATGTGTGGTGCCTATTGTTCCTCCCCAGGTGCATCACCTTACACTTGTCCATGTTAAACCCCATCCTGTTCTCCTACATGCAAGTGATGCTTGCAACTTACAGCCTTTTCTCTTTACACACATATTCTGAGCCTCAAATGTATATTTAATCAAGCATACACAATAACATCCATAGTCTGCTCGTAGGACACAACCTGGTGAAGAAAGAAAGGAGAAAAGTACAAAAAGGAAGAAAAGGAGAAAATATCTATTCAATATTTTTCATGTCTATTAAACTTTTTTTTTTGCCTATTCCAACATGCAATATATTTTTTTATAGGCTCAGACAAGCTTTGCCACCCTCAAAAATCTGTTAAAAATTATATCGTACAATCACTTCTACACAAGGTATTTAGAAAAGGCTATGGAGTCCTCCTACTGGTTTCATTCCCAATGAATCCAATAGGATTTTCCACAGACGAAAAATGAAAGAGGGCCACACTCAACAAGTCTAGCATAGGCACCGTGGTGTTCAGCACCTTTGCCCTTTACAGTTAAACCAGAGAGACAGCTTTCGTTTAACACCAGCACTACAAGACCATATCAGCTACCTGACAGATCTCTCCAGCTATCTAAGGCCACTCTTAATAAGCTTCCTGAAAGAAAGCAGCCCCTTTTAAACTGCACTGCCCCTTTTTGTAACCCAAAACACAGAATTGGAGTCATGGCCTCTAGGCACTCCCAGATCCTGGTTATTTTAATATTTTCCAGTCTGTCTTTATTTATATAAGCACAAGCCCTTGAACTAGTGACCAACTTGGGCCACATGCTTAACATCCCAGCTCTGAATAAAATTATTCATAAGTCAGTTGAAGCCATTTCGCTTCCATCATGCCCAATCACAAGCAAATGGGGTGATGTGCTCACATTACATACAGAGTCAGCATAAAAATGGCATGTCATGCCCTATGTAGGAAACCATCATAGCCAGTTGGAAAAACAAAGGAAAAATGGCCAAAAGGAAATAATTAAAAAAAAAGGTGAAGCTGAAATACCGGTGTCATCTTCAGTTTAGTGGTATGCATCAGGGCCTACTCTCACGTTTCCACACTTGCACTTGAGCACATTTTACAGTCCTTCAAAATAGTCAATCCTCTACTGTTTCAAAGTGTTTGCACTGTGCAGCAGGAGGAAAACAGATGCCCAGGTATCACAAGAAAATAAAAGAAAGAGAAAACTCAGGTAATAAAACTGATTTTTATATGACATGCTAAAATATTAGCAGGTATTTGGTAATTAACATGCATTTTATAGATGAAGCTTACATTGATGACCTAATCAAAATCCTGAATCCAAATCCCACCCACGCTGTGGCAAAGTACAACTCCAAACATCATAGGCAGGCCCCGCCTCTGCAAGCATTAATGATTTGGGTCTTAAACCAAAAAGCTTGTACTTAGAAGAGCATTATCATTCAGCCTAACACAGTCTGATCCCCAATACAAACAACACCAGAAAAGGACACAAGCTCAGTCTTTGATGATACCAATGCCAGAAGATCAGGGTATATTAAGAGCTGAAGTTAACAGCTATCACTTCAGACAATCAGAAAACCAATGAGGTTTTTGCTTTTAAGTCTGGGAAATGCCACTGCTCCACATAACATAAAAGTGGAATTTTTGCTCCAGTAGATACCGTATTTACTTGAATACAAGATGAGGTTACCTCCCAAATCAGCATGGAGCAAAAAGCCCCTTCTCTTATATTCGCATATGAAGCAGAGTGGGGAGAAGGCAGATGCTGCTGCTCTGCCTCTGGTCCTGAGCCTCAGTCAGAGCCAGAGTCAGACCTACAGCAGCCTCCTGCCCTACTCCCAACTTCCCTTCTGCAGCTTCAGCCCTCCCCTCCTCCTTACTGTCAGGTGCAGCTCGACTCTGGCTTGGGCTGGAGTTTCTCCTCGGTACAGAGCACATGAATACTCCTTCTCCTGCCTGGCCAATCACCAGCACCAACACTGCTGCATGGCTGAGCAAGGGCTGAGCTTCCACATGCTCAGGACACCACAGTATCTGACAATAAGAGTGGGGAAGGGAAGAGGCAGAGGTTGGGAAGCAAGGGAAGGTGCGGGGAAACAGGCAGAGACTGAGGGGGGGGTTGCAAGGGAAAGGGACAGAAGCTATGGGGAGCTGGGGGGCTGCAAGTGGCAGGGGGGCAGGAAGGCTGCAAGGGGAAGAAGTGGGCAGGGCAAAGGGCAAGAAGTGGACAGGGAAGAAGGCAAAAAGTGGGCAGGTCAGAGGGCAGTACCTGGGGGACATGACCTGCCCCCCAGCCACAGGTTTCCCTGCTATAGCAGGGAAGGGGGGAATTCAAGACAATCCTCCAGTACTTAAATTCTATACCTCGAAATTATACCAAGTTTAAATTTTCCATGTACAGAATCTAATTACAGGGGGAACATTTTATATTTGAGTAAATATGGTACTCCTCAATGGACACTTACTTGTGCCTAGCCAAAAAGCAAGCTTATGATCTAAATTCCTAATGCTTCACACACCATTTTTGTACTTTCAGGCACCACTTGCACAATCTTCAACATTTTCACAGTAAAAACTGCACAAGGCAGAGGCACAAAGCAGCCAAGGAAGATCAGCAAAGATGGAAAACCAGAGATGAACCAACTAAAAATAAATGCAAAAATCCCACTTTATACTAAGGGTGATGCTTTCCACTCTGGAGTATTTAAACTAAACTAAACTAAACTACCATAAGGCTCCTGCTTTACTTTTGGGAGCCTCATCTACCCTCACACCCACCCCATTCACTTCCAGTTTTATGATGATCCTAACCACAGTGACTCAAGTCAGCAGCAGTGCACATCAGTTTGAAATATCTGGTAGACAGTCTAGTCCAAGTTTAGCTCCATTCTCCATATTCTTCTTTATAATTAGGTCTCCAGGCAAAAATTTAGTATTGTGAAAGCAACAACTGTCACAGCCTTTAAATCTACTGCATTTATTTAATGACACAGACTGTGACATGGGAAACATTTGGGAGAATGTGGGATTTGGGAAGCAAAACAAATCTATTCCCTGCGGAATGCTGAACCTTTTTTTTTTTCTCCCCCACAGAAGATATTGGAGTCCCCTATTTGACCCCAAGTGTATTTGGATCAAGCCCCAAGCTTCCAACTCTTTTCACTGTCAAACACCTTTTCTGTCCAACAGAAATGGATGACTGATTTTGTGGCTGCTGCCACAGCTATCTTTGATTTGACCCTTCCTCCAAACACTTACCTCACTGTTGTGGCCCCTTAAATTGAAGTTGATCCTCTGAGGGGTGTTCCGGTCTCTCCTACAGTGGCTGGAGGTAAACGTCACCCCTACAACTCCTCGGCCGTTGCCTGTGGCCAACCAGCCCTCCTCATAATACCGCCTTCTGCACACCGGTTTCTCCTTCTCACTTTTAGGAACTCTACCCTTCCAGGAGAGACACAGGATGTTGGAGTCACTGCACAGAACAGGCCCATGTTCCACTGCTGCATACATGGTTTTTTTTGTTTTTTATTTTTTGACATAAGAAAGCAGTATGTCTAGTGCACAAAAATTTAAATCAATTTATTTATAAGACTGACCTGGGATAGACCATTGCAGGAGAGAGGAGGGTCAGTGTTTATAAATATCCACCAAATGCATAGTGAAAAATTCCTCTATAAAAGATGATGGCAGTTGGCTAAGAAAAAGTAACACTTAAAAAAAAATTCAGGTTCATTTTGTCTTTGAGTCATTAGAGAGAGGGTGCACTTTTCCTTTGGAGAAACAGCTACTTCATAAGAGGCGTTCAAGAAACGGTAAGTCGTCTTTTTGCTCAACTTGATATAATCTTTATACAGCCTGAGATTCCAGTTTAGTGTAATGCAATTCCAGAGACGAAGAGTTGCAAATGTGTAGGATTCAAGTAACTTAAGGCTTTAAGATTTCCTCCAGTCAGATTTTCTTCAAAAGTTCAGTCGCAGAAATTTAAACATGCGCACATACGTACATATGTATAGATACGACATTCCTCGTCTCCAAGCTGCCCTCTGGCATATCCTCCCCACCTGATGTATTTCTGCTGCTAAAGCTGAAAGAGATTGCATAAAGGGAAAAAGGCACACAGACCATACGAAACAACAGACACCACACTTGTACAGGCACCAGCTTGCCAGGCCAAATGGGAAACTCCCTCTTGCTACTGAACTGTTTGTTGGACTCAATGATTTTTGCAATCCAAAGCCAGTCCCATTTTCATTGTAGCTCTTTTGTCCGCCAGAGACTAAGTGCAGCCTGCACTGTTTATCATGCTATCTTGCCTGCTTTCCCACTTCTCACTGCCACACAGGAATGAAAAAGAAAACCCCTTTTCATTTAACAGATTCAAAAATGTTCGAAAGCTTTTAGCTTTTAAAGCAGTGAAGTTTGCCTCAGGTGAACCGTGAAGTTCTCTCTCCTCTGGAACAGGACTATGCAGCAAGCTGTTTTTTCCTTTACTTTTCCCTTTTTCCTACTACCAAAAAAAGAAGCGTCATAGATTTTCCATCCTGCTGTAAAAACAGGTGTCAGAATTAAAGCTCATCAAATAAGCACTCTTTGCAAATCTTCTAGGATTCAAGGGAGGACAAAATATAAATCAACTAAAAAAGAAAGAGAAGCAGCACTGAAAATCTGACTTCTTGGTTTTACTGTCTCCTTCGATAATTTCCTTACTTGCTCGATATGCTCTTTCCTTCTTGATTCTTGCCTAGAGCACAGATTCATAGTTCCAAACCCTACATTTGCAGCTGTACAAGAAAGGAACGTAATAAAGTGTTCCAATTATTTTATTTGAATAATGTTTGCAAGCTTGATTGATTAATACTTATACCATACTAAGCAGTAAGATAAAAAGGAAGGGGCAAAAGAATAAGCAAGTTTGAGGACCCAGTTAACTCCATACAGAAAACAAAGTTTGCATTTCAATGCCCAGACTTGTACCACAGTTCCTGAACTTGCTTTCTTCCAGTCATCACTACACAATAAAATGGTCACTATTTATTAATCCAGTACATTAAACCCAATTATAGTTTACTGAGTCCAATGCAAAAAATGTGCCAGACAGTACATTATTCCATTTGCAATACAAAAGTCAGTTTCTTTTTCTATCTGTCTTCTTCTGTTCTCCTCTCAATTACTTCTTTAGATTCCAGAGGTATGTATTAGGCTTGTTCTGTGCACAATGTATTTTTTCTTCTTCTTGCAAACGTTCTTCACCTGTGTAGACCATGTAGCAAGCTGACCATTAGTGGCAGGTGTCTTTCCATAGACTTGTGATCCCTGTGCTGTCAAGTTGCTCCATCTGATTCTTAATTTAATTTTCAGCAATTGCAAAACTTTTTGTATGAAAGAATAAGTCCACCGGGCTGTGGAAACTCATGCAAATATACATACATCTGGTACACGTGCACACACTCGCTCAACTTGGTACTTGAAGCGGCATCTGCATTTTCTGTTTGGCAACAGCTGTCTTATACGATGTCTGTCATTCAAAGCCTGGTTTCTCCAGATCTGTCCAACTCTGCAAGACAAAGCACAGAAAAAGACAGTGAAAAAAAGGGCTGCAGCAAATGGTCGCCTGAGATACCCAAGAGGTATTGCTACTGCAATACAACATTGAGTGTACATTTATATATAGTTTCTCTCATTTCTGAAGAACACAAAGCTTTTCACGATCTACTCGCATCCAAAACTCAATTAAATGCAGCTAAGTCTACTACCATGAGAACAGATAACGGTTGAACAGCATACTGAACAGTAAGAGGAAAGGGACAGTTCTTGGCCACAGACACTAGGGCAAATTCATACTCCCACATGAAAGACAGAGCAACAGTTTTGCAAATGTTAATCTGACAGACACACTTCAAGGTGCAAACACTCAACTTATCCTTCTCACCCAAAGAAAGGGTTGAACTGATTCTGCTTCAAGAAGGCTACGTAATCACAAACCTAATGATTAAAGAGAGGTAGCTGGCCATATTAGCCTAAGTTAAGCAGAAAGCAAGGCAGTGTGGTACCTTACAGACTAATTTATTGAGAGAGGCAAGAGCTTTCATAGGCTATAATTAGACCTACCAAATTCACGATTCTGTGATTTTTGCAGAAACTGAGAATTTGATAGGTCCCCCGTAAAAAAATCCCAGTCCCTGCAAAAAAGCACAGGGACCATTAAAAAGTGCAAAAAAGGCACTTGCAGCAGGGGTGCAAAAAAGATGCTGGGAAAAAAAACACACCACGAGAAGCCCTGGCATCCCAGAGCCGCGGTGGGGGGAAGATGGCCAAAGGCCCCCAGATATCCTGCCCCACCCTGGAGATTGACAGATGGCTATCTGCCAATTTCCATGATGGTGCCACAACATCCTGCCTTCTCCCTACTGATCAAAGTTGAATTAAATGGGAATAAGTTTTAAGTATTACTGAAGTCCTGAGCTAAAAACAATCACATGTTACCAAACAAGGCTAAATCTGAACAAAGGAAAAAATATTCAAAAATTAAAGTACATTTTTATAAAGAAGATATGGACCAAAACAAGTGGCAGGCATTTCAAGTGCAGGCAATTATTGCAGCAACATTAATTTTACCACAGGGTACTCACCTGAGTTCACAACTCCATTCAAGACCCTCTTTACAGCTGTATCCCTGTCCAGCCTAAAATGCACATGACTCATGTTAACACTATATTTAGAACAACTGTCCTTATCAGTATCTAATCCAGATGTACTGGTATCAGTAGCAATTTGTTCACCTGAGACAGAGGTTATAAATCTGGACTATGGACAAGGAGGCAGAGTAGTTCACAACACAATTTAGCTAGCATAGGTCTCAGGAAAAGTCTGTCCATGCTACTTAGTGGCAGACTCTCCTAACAACAGCTCTTTTAACATGGTGGTTGCTAGCAGATTTTTTCAATTATAGGACGATGATTTAAAACATGTGTTACATCTTCTGGGTTTAAAGTTTCATAGTCTCTTATGGTCAGAAGGGACCTAAACAGATCATCAGGTCCGACCCCCTGCCCTGGGCAGCAACGAGTGTGGGGTCATAACACCCCAGGCAAATATCTGTCCAGCCTCCTCTTGAAGACCCCCAAGGTAGGAGAGAGCACCACTTCCCTTGGGAATCCATTTCAGAGGCTGGCAGCCCTAACCATAAAGTAATGTCACCTGATGTCCAGCCTGAACCTTCTCTCTAACAATTTGTGGCTGTTATTCCTAGTAATCTCGGGTGGTGCCTTGCGGAACAGAGCCTCCCCCAATTCTCGCTGGTCCACCCTGGTGAGTTGGTAAACAGCCACCAGATCCCCTCTCAGCCTTCTCTTGTGGAGGCTGAATAGATTCAGGCCCTTCAGCCTCTCTTTGTAGGTCCTGCCCCGCTGCCCCTTGACCATGCAAGTGGCCCTCCTCTGGACCTTCTCAATGCTAGCCACATCCCTCTTGAAGTGCAGTGCCCAGAACTGTGCCACTTTTTAAGGTGGATGCCAAATAAACTTGGTGTTAAGGGTCAATTCAGAATCTTTTTTAGGAAGCAATGATTTCAGGGAGAAACTCTATGCTCATACTGTAAAACAAACGTGATCCATGATATGGTGAATCAGAGCAGTTATCTGCATCCCCCTCCAGGCTCTTCCTAAATAGATAATGAAGTAAATAGACAAAAAGGAAATTTTTCTACCTATGGGGACTTTTTACCATCTTTATTTTCCCTGAGTGAGTGAGCCTGAAAGCTTGCAGAAAAAAATATATTTTTTGCAATTTCTTAGTTGGTCTGATAAAAGGTATCATCTCTGAACCAAGTGCTCTAGAGTTCTGCATTCCTAAACAGATAATACATTTGAATCCAACAATAGGCCCTTTGCATTACTTTTTTGAACTAACAGTAAGGGCTTGTACCATAACACAGGCATTTACTAATCATACTGACAAACAGGAAAGCTTTTCATACAGTGCACAGGCTGTCCACAAAGCATCAAAAATGGAGGCGTGAGTAAGTCTTAGGACCCTGCTACATGTTACATACATTACACAATTAACTGGTTAAATATGCAATAAATTCAGACCAGACACACTTGCAAAGTAATTAACACGATAAAAATGACTAGCCAGCTATAAAAGAGCTAACCAGCTATAAAGTTAGTGCCTGAAAATGTGTAACAACTCTATAGCTGGTTTCTATCCACCTTTAATTTGAACATGCAACAGGGCCTTCAAACACAGCCATCTGAACTGCAGAAATACTGTGCCTTTAAAAATGGATTTTCAAAAGATAGGTACAAAGTAGCCTTGTACCTCTTTTAAATACAATCTGACCTTATTTGCCATGTACTAAATTTAATAGGCTTTATAAAATGAATCTTCCTGACTTCTGATCCATTGCTTTCTCTCCCCTGATTCTGCAGTTAAGTCACAAAGCGGATTTCCTGTCATTTTCAGTTATACACTGATGGCCAGTGCTATAGAAAAGATTCTGATTTCAGTAAAGGATCAGGCATAAGGAAAAATATTTTGACAGAGGGATAGCAGAGAAATGAAAATGCCCAAAATAAAACTGCAAAAGAAATAGAGTAAGAGAAATGTTCTTGGATGAATAGGTAACAGGAATGATTTATTCTTCACCAGGGCAAGTCTACCTTCATATCTACAAGCTACTGAAAAAAAATCTACATGCAATAAAATTATGCAATGAAAGGTAAAATGAAATTATAAAGATCATAGTCAAGCACACTAATGCTAGTATTTGCCAGCATTAAAGTTACCCTTACCATGTAAATTCACTACCATCCCACTGTACAAGCATTATGATAGTCTTAATTACAGGACCACATGCTTTCCATTTTCTTGTCTCACCCACACCCCAAGAAGCTCTCTCTCACATTCAGTTTATTCTGCGTTCTGCCCTCATATCTCTTTGCCCCTGTCCTCAACCCCTGCCTGTCTCCGAACTGCTTCTTCCAACTTCTTTGCCTCAATTTCCTCTGGGAATAATGATACAGACCATTTTACAAAACACGTTGAGATCTATAGATGAAAAGCACTGTAAAAGCTAAGTGCTATCATTACGTACGTCAAGCTGCTGACATTAATATAGTATGGATTCATGTAACTAAGGCAACTTGGATTTTCAAGTGGAACTCATGCTAATAGTATCAGCATGTCACATCAAGTACTCTATCTATAAACTTTGTATTTGGGCTCAATATTTTTTTCTCTTATCACTGGTCAAGGCCAAAGTTTTCTGGTCCTGAAGTGACTTGTTAGAATCCATTGAACTGTTTCAGACACTGGCAGATCATCAAATACAGAGGAATGGCAGTAAGTCTACTTAAAAGGTGTCTCACTTTTTTATGTATAGCTAAACATACCCGAGTTCTGGTTCCCTCTGCAGCAGAGAGTCAAATGGCATCAGTGGTGATATTAAGTCCCTCAGCCACAGACACTCAATAAAAACAGACACATATCAGATCTGGGGTAAGGGAAGAGAGATCTAATATTTACTCTGCTTTAATGTGGTAGACCAGCATAGCTCCTCTCAGATGTGGAAACAGGAACTGCTTGTGTTTCTTTCACTTTTCAAAGGCAGACTACTCACCATGACCACTCCTAAGTATTTTGTACAAAATACAAGTATATTAAGGCACAGTTGAACAACCAGAAAAATATCCGCTTTCATGTCTCCTTCATTGAGCCATCCCTCTTTGTTGACAGTCATATACAGTCAAATGTAATTGTGCCATACTGAGCTCTCCACCATTTTCCTTTGATTTCATAGCTCCCAGCCTTCACAATATGTTACTTCATAGAATCATAGAAGTAGGGTCGAAAGGGACCTTGAAGATCTTCAAGTCCAACCCCCTGCCTGGGCAGGAGAAAAACTGGGCTCAAATGACTCCAGCCAGGTAGGCATCAAGCCTCTTCTTAAAGACCCCCAGGGTAGAAGCCAGCACCACTTCCCTTGGAAGTTGGTTCCAGATCCTAGCCGCCCTAACCATGAAGTAGTTCTTACGGATGTCTAATCTAAACCTACTCTCCAACAACTTATGGCCGTTATTCCTTG